ATCGGCCAAACAATGTCAACTGGCGACACCCAGGGGGAGAGCCTTCTCTGTGGGAGCACCAGCCCTTTGGAATGAGCTGCCCCTAGATGTACGTATAATCCCCGACCTGCGCACCTTTCGCCTTGCCCTGAAGACCCTCTTATTTCAACAAGCCGGGCTGGCCTAACATAAATATGAATTTTGAATGGGTGTATGTTAGTTTTATTGGGTTGTTTTTAAATCTTGGGCCGAAATTATTTAATTGTTTTTTAAACTGTTTTTAAATTTTATATGCAATGTTTTATCTCGGCTGTACACCGCCCTGAGTCCCGCAGGAGAATTATTATTATTATTATTATTATTATTATTATTATTATTATTATTATTATTATTTGTGGGCCAAATTTTTGTATATTTGATTTTAAGGGTTTTTTAAATTTTGTAATTTATCTGTCTTTTAATATGGCTGTACACCGCCCTGAGTCCTTCGGGAGAAGGGCGGTATAGAAATCTAATAAAAGTTAAAGTTAAAGATCCCTAAAAATGATACTACCATTCAATTGGAAGAAGGGGGAGACTTGGATTCTATTTAATAGCATTGCCTGTGTCAATAGATACTTTACAACCTTTATCCTGGCACCAAAGAGCCCTGAGATCCTCTTAATGTAGAGGAATGTTTATAATAGCCATGTGGGTTGTTTCACTTTAAAGGATAATGGTGTGAATGCATGGTTGCTCGGGTTCTCAGGGAAACTAGTAAAGAAAACATCTTCACACTTGTGTATTTAATAAAACTAAACTAAACTATTGGCTAAAATCTACATTCTGACTTAAAGGGAGGGGTCTCTACCGCTTTAATCCTACTTGTCTTGCCTAAGGGTACTCAGATCTTGCTTTAAACTGGGTTGCTATCATTTCTGCTTAATAAAGGGATCCTTTTGAACTATTATGTTTCAAGAGTTTTTACTTTCTTAAGTTGGAAGGAGAGGATCACCAGGATGATCTATCATGTCATGTTTGGTATTAATGAGGCATCTGCTACTTTTAACATTTTGGACCATCAAATATTCCTGTCACAATTTTCTTTAGTAGTGTTTTGCAGTGCAGTGTTCTCAACCTTATCTATTTGCCTGATATTTTCTTTCTTTGGATTTAAAGATATCATTTTCTTATTTTGAATTAGATTTTGACTAAACTTGAATGTTAATGCCTTGTTTCCCCAATTTATGATCTTTCTTTGTAATCCATTTAAGTAGGGCAATCTAGTACTCATTAAAGCCTTAATTGTAAAAGGATATCTAGATACAATGACTTAACAAGTGCAACTATTAAGTAATTACTAATCCAAGACTAATATAAGTGTAGGAAAACTGAGGTATAGACCTTCACTCCATTGGGGCTTCTTTGCAATCTGGTATTCACCCTGATAATGATGCTATTCATGTGAACTAGAGGACCATGGCAGAGTCTGAAGACGGTATCTATGATAAAAGTGTCAGAAGTCAGTAATTGGGCTACCATATCTGGCCTGCAAAATTCAAAAAGCGACTAGATTCATCAAAATCTCTGTGGCTATCTAGCAATTACCTGAATTTTAGCAGCCCCAATATGGTAGCCCTACATATATTTTGTGCCAAGTCATATAAACTGCTGACATTAGCTAAGAAATTATTTGTTAACCCAACCTTAATTCTGCTTGAATTTATGCCCTGTGATTCTTGCTGACTTGTCTTTTAACTTTATAGTTCAATATATATAATTACCTGGTTTTTGATCTTTTAAAATATCAAACTTCCTTTGGCAATATAATAATGCGAGTGCAGGTAATATATTTTATAAGTAACTATTTCTTTTTTTTCCCTCTTAAAATTAAGAGAGAGATTTCCTAATTCTGATAAGAATGTTTAAGCCATTGAGTTCTGGAACCAAAATGATTGATACATCATTGTACTTTGTATGTAAAGTACAGTAGTAGCCAAAATTGTGCAAACTTTTTGGGAAAAGTGTATTTTCTAAAACTAGCTAATAACACCACTTTTTTTTGGAGTAGTACCATAAAATTATATAAAATTATATATCAATGGAAAGATAATTTAATCAAGAATGTAATGCAATAACTTTTATGAAGGATTTGCTATTAGAATAGCAGTTACAGTATAAAGAAGAAAACATGTAGAAAAAATAAGATATACAAAAATTATCACGTCAGTTAATACTTAATTGAGTAACCTTTAGCATGAATTACGACCTTAAATGTCTTCCCATGGAGTGAATCAAGTCTTTTAGTTCTGCAGCTGTTATAATGTGAAACCAAGATTGAATGATTGCATCTATTAACTGGGTTTTATTGCTGGGTCGCTTCTGACTAACAAGTTTCTTTAGTCGGCTCCATAGATTTTCAGTTGGGTTAAGGTCTGGGCTATACCCAGGCCATTCCAGTAGTGGAATATGATTATCCTGAAATTCCAAAAAAAAAGTGGTGTTATTAGCCAAACCTCAAAAATACACTTTTCCCAAAAGGTTTCCACAATTTTGGCCACTATTGTATATGCTCTATATTTTATTAACATAAAGTACACTCACAAACACACTTACAGTATTAGGTACACATATTATTGTATACAAAGTATATTTCTATTAATTATAAAGTACATAAAGCTATTTTAAAGCTGGGGACATAAAATGTACACAAAACAAATGCATTTATCAAACAATTCCATTTTTGAAAAATCAGATAACTATAATAATTATCCATAAAATTGAAACAATCTTTCTACAATTTAATCAGCTGGAGCTATCATTCAGACTTGATAGTTTCTTTCTTGATTAGACAAGAATTAAGGTGCAGATATACTTTGCCAAATACTTTAAGAGGCAATGCTTATCTGTTTGCTATCTACTCCCAACTCATCCTGTGGCTTGCTAACTTTTTCCAATTATTCCCTCTGCAGCCTACAAATCCCAAACGAGACTGGCTTGTGTTTCCATTTGGAGCAAATCCCTGGTGGATATACTTAGTGTCTTCAGTACCTGCCATTCTAGTTATCATCCTCATCTTCATGGATCAACAGATAACAGCTGTCATTCTCAATCGCAAGGAATATAAACTGCAGGTCAGTATTTGGTTGGGCTCTGTAATGTAGTAATGCTTTAGTTTATTGGAAAATCTCTCTTAAACACACAGATATTGAACCATAAACTGAGGAACACCAGAATAATTGTTGAGACTAAACTTGTGTTTCAAAGACAATTATGTAATAAACAGGTTTTTAAAGCCAAGTAAGTTTATATGGCATGTTTTCATATAATCTGGACTCATCTTTAAAGGGTTTTATAGAGCATATTGGAAATGGTTTAAAAAGGGGCTGCATACTTCATCCATTCTGCCTTCCAGGCTTATTTATTTTTAAAAGGAGGAACAAACTTAGCATATTGCAGATTGTTCATTTTGCTCTCTTTGTGTTATTTTTCACTACCATAGTTGCTGGTGTGAAGAAACCCATGCTTCCTTATTTGTAAAAGCAAATATTGGAAGAAAGGAAGAAGATAAAGCATTAGTTACCAAAGCAAGAAACAGAAATAAATACGTTTCCAAATTTAGTAGGCAATATATAGCAATAGGAATAGCACTTAGACTTATATACTGCTTTACAGTGCTTTACAGCCCTCTCTAAGTGTTTACAGTGTCAGCATATTGCCCCCAACAAACTGGGTCCTCGTTTTACCGACCTTGGAGGTGAAGGCTGAGTCAACCTTGGCCTCATGAATTTTGAACTGCCAAATTGCAGCAGCCAACAGTCAGCAGAAGTAGCCTACAGTACTGCATTCTAACCACTGTGCCACCAGGGCTCATGTAGAATTTCTTAGTACCATATGCAACATTTTTTGTTTTATATTCCTAAGGAAATGGTATTGATGTACGAAATCTTACATAAAATTCTCTAACCCTAATTTCACTCTAGGCAGTGAAATTCTGGAAACATAATCAATTACACAACTTATAAAAATGTTATTGTTCCAAATCAGTTAAAGGAGTCATAGTCTAAAATAGAAAACTTTACCATGCATTATCCAGCCCACATCTCCTAGTGCTATCTCCAATGTTCTCTTGCAGAAAGGGGCAGGATTTCATCTAGATTTCCTCTGTGTTTCCCTGCTGATGATTGTTACATCGTTTATGGGCTTGCCCTGGTATGTGTCCGCCACAGTCATATCTCTGGCGCATATGGACAGCCTTAAGAAAGAAAGCACTACCAGTGCTCCAGGAGAACAGCCAAAGTTCCTTGGAATCAGGTATTGGAAGTAGATCGCAGTTTTAAGGATTCAAAAATGGAGGTTTTATTATTTGTCATTATTCTCTATATTCTACACTAGCCTTCTCCAACATGGAAATATATACAACATTCAAAATCAATATTCCTGCAAGCTATGCTCTCTTTGGGATTTGAAGTTTTAACACATTTGGAGAACACCAAATTAGGGAAGACCATATTAAATAGTAGGAAATGATTGATTGGGCCCCACCCCATTTTGCTGGATAACATAATGAAGGCACTGGGTGGGATTGGCAGATGACTGATTTAGGAAGATTGGGATTGATTTAGGATTTATGGGATTGGCAGATGGCTGAAATATGAAGGCCTAATTTAGAAATACTCTTCTTACAGGGAGCAAAGAGTTACAGGATTGATGGTCTTTATTCTCACAGGATTGTCTGTGCTTCTTGCTCCGGTGCTCAAGGTGATTTTTAAAAAGTATTCGTATAAGTATTTAATGCATAGATCTGTTATTTCATTTCCCATTGTTCATGTGAAGTTTTGATTTTGCTGTCTAAAATACTTTGGTAGCAAACTGAATTCAGCTGCCTGAATTTCAGCCTAATGTATTGCTGGAAAGTATTGGGACAGAAAAGGATTGGTTATGGGATTTGTTCTCATTTTCATGGATTAGAGTGAAAAATGCAGACCAGCCAGGTGTGTGATTGAGATTGTTTGATTTCTCTTTGAAGGAATGGTTCCACTGTATGCTGCATTGAGCAGAACCCTATTCTTCAAGCACTGTGCTTTTGGGTGCCACAATTTGAGAGACTCAGACAAACTGGAACAGCTACAGAGAAGGGCAACATAAATCAGCAGGAACCTGAAAACACAATATTACAAATATTAACAGAAAATACTACACAGGAAATACACTGAGGGGAAAGGGGGGTTTGGAAATCATGTTCCTTAGATAAGCTGTGACATATATAAACTTTCTATCCCTCTCTGCTTTGAAAAGTTAAGGGAAGGCTGACTGAATAGACCATTTTGATAGCCAAATTCTTACAGAGAAAGATGACCACAGGGAAGGGAAAAATACCTGAAGAGATGTCATGTAAAAGAAGGCAGAAATGTTACTGTTTAGTATCCCAGTGAAGGACTTGAAAAAGCAAACACTGGCAGTGATGTTTTACTGACTTTAAAGACAGTCTTTTGTGACTCATACTTTAAATGTGATTAATTTTCTTTCTTTCATATCCCAAGTTTATCCCAATGCCTGTGCTGTATGGCATTTTCTTTTATATGGGTATATCTGCACTTAGCAGTATTCAGGTGAGTGCAAAAAAGTTGTAGAAATACATTCTGCAGTGTTGGGGAGGATGAAGGTTAATTCAATCAGCAGAGTATATAGTATTTTCTAAGACATATACAGTAGTCTGAATAACGCGGGAAGGCTCTGTCTATAATTAAGGTCTCCTGGATGTTTGTGTGCTCCTTTTCAAGAAGTTGTGGTTTTTTTTTTTTTACTTGCTTGTTTTGTGTCTTTGAAGCAGTTTTGACTCCTGGCCACTGTCTGGACTAGCCCCTGTAGTTTTCTTGGCCAGATTTTCAATAGTAGTTTGCCACTGTCTTTTTTCTATGGCTGAGAAGGAGCGACTAACCCAAGGTCACCCAGATGACTTCATACCCAAGGCCAGATTAGAGTCACGGTCTCTGGTTTCTAGTCTGCTGGGTTAACTACCAAAAAGAAGCCCGCAGTGCTAATAAAGCAGAAGAGAAATGCATGCAAGAGGTACTTTTAAAAATAAAGCTGGAGCTCAGAGCTAATGTGTAAGGAGAGGGGCCAGATTAGCCCTTGATTCACTTACTATTCCCGATCTGTAATTTCAATTGTAAAACGTGGAGCAAGCCATGCTTAGCCAAGCAACCCTGAAATTTATTGGAAATTCTCTTTTTACATCTTAGAGCTAATATAAGTAACCCAATTCCAGGCAGAGATGAAATATTCATTCATTTATTTTCCTATGCCTCACTCTGAGTGGCTTATAAATCTCCCCAAATGGTAATATCATTAAAACATAACAATGCGTAATAAGTAATCAGCAATGTGTAATAAGTAATATCTCACATCAGCATGTGAGGTATTACTTATTACACATTGCTGATTACTTATTACGCATTGTTATGTTTTAAAATCAAAAGAAACTCAAAAGACTCCTTCAGCTCCCAGGAGCCCCCTGAAATAACTTGGGCAGGTCCAAACTGATATCAGAGAGAGAAGTGGGCAGCCATTGATTCCTACTGGGGAGCTTCCACTATATTTCTTGCTTTCATTTTTTCCAGTTCATGGAGAGACTTCAACTCTTGTTGATGCCTGCTAAACACCAGCCAGACTTCATTTATCTACGCCACGTTCCACTATGCCAAGTGCATCTTTACACCTTCATTCAGATCTTCTGCCTTGCTGTTCTGTGGCTTATTAAGTCAACTGCAGCTGCCATTATCTTCCCTTTAATGGTAAGAGCCCTTAGACATGAATGTCTTGTAGTATAACCATATATTATGGAGAGAATGAGTGAATCTGCCCAATATCTTTTCCTATGTACAGAAAAGCCTTTTATTGTCCACAGCATTCTACCTCCTATTACAGACTTGTACAATCCTAAATTTACTCAACTGGAGAAAAACTAATTTCACCTAGCCATACCCATTTATTGTCAGTTATTTTCTGAATATGTATCAGATATACTGGATTTTTTAAAATATACATTAATATTTTACATTGATATTTTGAAATAAACATTCCATTGTTTTAAAATATCTGTTCTATCAGATTTTTAATTCAAACCTGAATTTTAATCTTGATGTAATTATTAATGTTTTAAAATGTTGTAATTATTTGTTTGATTGTTCATACACATGTTTATATATTGCATATTTCAAAGGATGCAAAGCAGTTTACTGTATAACAAAAGAAGGAAATACAAATGTATAACCAACGACTCCAAACAAATACAAATAATGATCAGAATAAACCTCATACCTAAGGCAGCCTTTCCATGTCTGGTTCAGTAGTGGGCTCCACTTACCTTCACTACCGGTTTGGAATCAGGAGTGTGCATGCGCATGCGCATGCGCTTGCTTTGCTTGCATGCAAGGCTTCTGCACAGAGCGTCCGTGATGATGTCTGGGCGGGTGGGCGGAGCCTCCCGCCACCACCACTACTGGTTCGCCCGAACTGGTAGAAACCCACCACTGGTCTGGTTACTGTACAGTACAAAACAATCCTCAATAGTTTTTTAAAAGTATTTTAGAAATATTTTTACTGTAAAGGGCATTGTGTAACTCAGGAGACAAGGTGTCCTCAAAAAGGGCTAGATCAAGACATAGTAAAATAAAGGTAAGGTAAAGGAGTCTCTGGGGATTTTACTCTGCTAGTCATTGCCAACTATAAGGGGCAGTGCTCATCTTCAAGGCCACTGTACCAACACTATCTGAAGACATTTCTGTGGTCATGAGGCCAACATGATGTCATAGAGCGCTGTTATCTTCCCAGTTTAATGGTATCTATTTATTTGCATTTGCCTGTTTTTGAACTAGTAGGTTGGCAGAAGTTGGGGCGAGGATGGGAGTTCATCCTGTTGCATGGCATTCAGGTCTCCAGTCAGTTTCCAGCCAACCAGCCCAGCATCTTAACCACTGTGCACCATGCTACCCTTAGATCAACCACTTCAGAATGGGGCATACAATCATCTTCTACAAGGGAGAACTCAGTGGTGGGCTGCTGCCGGTTTGGACCAGTTCTAGAGAACCAGTAGTTCCGATGATCAGCTGGCCCCGTCCACCTACCCCCACCCTATCCTGTCCTATATTTCCTTCTTTCTGGCTCAGCTGATTCACGCGGCACAGTTGATTTCCGTGCCTCTGCTGTTCTACTTACCAGGGCTGCCATAGAAGGTAAGCAGCTGAGCTTCAAATTGCTGTATTTTGAATGCTGCACACATGTGCATCAGGCACTCTTGTGCACAAAGTGCGTGCTCACAGAACTGGTTGTTAAACCGGTTGCAGCCCACCAGTGGGAGAACCCAACTCTTTCTTTCAAAAAAGAGATGGTCTACCCATATGACCCAGATAGGTTATCATTTTGCTCACAGGTGGCAGAGTTCATGCCATTAAGAGACTGACCTCATTCTTGACCTTCACAAATTAAAAAAAAATGCTAGATAGTCTAGTAAGATGTTGCCTGGCCCCCACCCAAGTAGTTCCCAACTCTGAGTGAAAATGAATAATTCTATCTGTGAAACAGGTCCAAATGTCACAGCAATCTGCAAGAGGATTGTCACCTCTCTTTTTTTCTAAAGGAACAGGTAATCTTAAACAGAGTCACTGGATGTGAATCTACATGTACACTAAACATGAAAAATGCTAAGTATGTTCTTAAATGTGGTTATGGAACTTCATTTGGTCAAAGTGACTTTATTTTCTACCATTCTAGGTGTCTATTCATTTTATCTTCTATAGCTCCTTGGTTGGAGGCAATCTCATGTTAAGGCATGTAATAAAACTACTCATAAGACTAACAATATGCACAAAACTAGAAAGCAAGCTGACATGGCAGAAAACTGATAGTAATATTAATCTTGAATCCATATTGAGGTAAAAGCCAGGTCTAACTGACTGATGGCAACATCCCTGGCCTCCCTCAATTAGCTTTCTGTGATGCAAACCAGATCTGTACATACATACATAATTTCACCCCACATAATCCTATGGCACCAACATGCATTCTCCAACAGCATCCTGAGCCAATAACACCTAGCCATCCTATTATTTGGTCAAAGGGGAGCAGAAGTACCAAAAGTATGGGGACCTGCAACAACTTGCCATCATGCCTCCTGTGTCCATAATGCCTCCTGTGACTCATCCCCATAGAAATATACTCTTCTATCACATCAGCTTCCTAGGGCTCACCCCAAAATTCAGCCCAGGGATGACTACTGTTATTATTTAACAGATTAACAGAGTTGGAAGGGACTTTGTAGGTCATTTAGGCCAAACCCCCACCCCCCAACCAAACAGGATACCATACACCATTTTTGATAAATGGCAGTACAATCTTTTCTTGAAAGTCTCAAGTGATGAAGCTCCCACAACTTCTGAAGGCAAGCTGTTCCTCTGGTTGATTGTTCTCACTGTCAGAAAATTTCTCCTTATTTCCAGGTTAAATCTCTCCTTGTTTAGTTTCCATCCATTATTCCTTGTCTGCCCTTCAGGTGCTTTAGAAAATAGCTTGACCCCTTCCTCTTTGTGGCAGCTGCTCAAATATTGGAAGACTGCTATCATATCTCCCTGGTCCTTCTCTTCAGTAGACTAGCCATGCCCAGTTCCTGTAACTGTTCTTCATATGTTTTAGTCTCCAGTCCCCTAATCATCTTCTTTGCTCTTTTCTGCACTTTTTCTAGAGTCTCAACATCTTTTTTTATAGTTTGGTGACCAAAACTGGATGCAATACTCTAGGTGTGGTCTTACTTATCTCTATAGTGGTATCAGTACCTCACGTGATCTTGATTGTATCCCTCTGTTATTGGAATTTAGGATTGCATTGGCTCTTTTGGCTGCTGCTGCACACTGCTGGCTCATATTTAGCTGGTTATCCACTAAGACTCCAAGATCTCTCTCACAGTTACTGCTATTAAGCCTGGCTTCACCCAGTCTATATGTGTACTTTTGGTCTTTCTTGCCTAAGTGTAGGACTTTACTTTTCTCTACATTGAATTTCATTTTGTTAGATAGGGCCCAGTGATCAAGTCTGTCAAGATCCATCTGGATCTTGAGCCTATCTTCTGTGGTGTTGGCTATTCCTGCCAGCTTAGTATCATCTGCAAATTTGGTAAGTTCCCTTTCTATTCCCTCATCTAAGTCATTTATGAAGATATTGAAGAGTACTGGGCCTAAGAACCTTGTGGCACCCCACTGCTTACTTCCCTCCATGTAGACCTAGACCCATTAAGGTGTACGGTTTGTCAGCAGTTGCGAATCCATCTGGTGGTGATGCTATCTAAGCTTTTTTCTAGCTTACCAAGAAGTAGGTTGTGGTCTACTTTGTTGAATGCTTTGCTGAAGTCTAAGTATATTATGTCCACAGTATTTCGCTGGTCTACTAATTTAGTCACTATGTTGAAGAATGAAATAAAATTGGTTTGGCATGATCTGTTTTTAACAAACCCATGCTGATTGCTAGTTGTTACTTTACTTGTTTCTAGATGTTGGCAGGTCTGGTTTTTTTATTATCTTTTCCAGTATCTTCCCGGATATTGATGTTAGGCTGATTGGTCTGTAGTTTCCTGAGTCAGTTTTTTTTTCTTTTTTGAAGATGGGAACCACATCAGTTCTTTTCCAGTCCTCCGGTAGTTCCCTGATGCTCCAGGATTTTTGAAAGATGATGTGCAGTGGTTCTGAGATGACCTCTGCCAGCTCCTTTAGAACTCTGGGGTGTAATCCATCAGTCCTGGTGATTTGTGTTCATCAAGATAAGACTGGTGTTCCCTCTCTCTCTCTCTCTCTCTCTCTCTCTCTCTCTCTCTCTCTTTTTTTTTTTTTTGCTTATTTTAACTTTTATTTCTAGTCTGTCTTTTACAGTTATGTTTTTAGTAGGTTGGGCTATAGTTTCTTTTTGCGTGAAGACCGATGCAAAGAATGAGTTAAGCAGCTCTGCTTTCTCTCTGTTCCCCGTTACTTCCTTGCCGCCTTCTCTCTTTAGTGGACTGACTGTTTCTTTGATTTTTTTTCTTGTTATTTATATGTTGGAAGGAACTTTTTTTTTATTATCTTTGACTTTTGTTGCAAGTCTTTGTTCATTCTGAGCCTTTCCTTTCCTGACTTCGTCTTTGCAGATTCTGGCTATCTGCTGATATTCTGCCTTAGTTGTGTGTTCCTCTTTCCATTTTTTGTACTTGACTTTTTTGTCTTTCAATTTGTCAGAGAGATCTTTGTGCAGCCATGCTGGTTTCTTCTTGGATTTCTTGTTTTTCTTTCTCAGTGGTATTGTGCTGGTCTGGGCTTTTATGATCGTACTTTTCAGTTTCCCAAGTTTCTTGAATTGTTTTCCCTTTAGGATTTTAGGAATACTTAGGGATCTTTCCCAAGTTCTCTCTGAGTTTATTAGAATCAGCTCTTTTAAAATCTAAGACTCTGATGTCATTATGTTCTATTGCTTGTGTTGAATTCTAGTATGACATGGTCACTCTCACTCAAGGTTCCTGCAGTTTCAACTCCCTCTATCACTTCTTCTCTGTTTGTAAGAATTAAGTCCAGTATGGCTGTCCCTCTAGTTCCCTCTTCTACCTTTTGGACAACAAAGTTGTCAGCAAGGTTGGTTAGGAACCTATTTCATTTCTCATTTGGTGCAGAATTAGTTTTCCAATTGATATCAGGGTAATTGAAGTCTCCCATTACTATTGTAGTGTGTTTCCTACATATATTTGTTAGTTTGTTGGCAAAAACAAACATCTATTTTTCTGCATGATTGAGTGGTCTACGGTATGCACCTATGGGCCAGTGGTGAGTTGCTACCGGTTCACCCCAGATTGGGCGAACCCGCTAGTGGCAGTGGCAGGAGGCTCCACCCACCTGCCCGGATGCTTCAGTGCATGCGTAGAAGCTTCTGCACCTAAGCATCGTACGCACGAGTGTGCGTGCACACCCGAGCGAACCGGTAGCAAACTAAATTGAAACCCACTACTGCTATGGCCATGTCATTCTTTTTTTCCTTTATATTAGTCCATATGCATTATAGGAGGTTTTCTTCTTTTGTTTCATGCATTTCTGTAGCAATATAGTGATCCTTTACATACAGTGCAACTTCACCTCCTCTTTTAAGGGGTCTGGGTTTTTTGAACAGTTGGTATCTTTCTATCAGTATGTTCCAGTCATGGGTTTCATCCCACCAAATTTCTGTTATTTCAACTATAACCTATCTACCTTCATGTATTAGTAGTTCGAGTTCATCCTGTTTGTTCCCCAGACTTTGTGCATTTGTATATAGGCACTTGAGATCTTTATGTCTGACACCGGGTATGCTTTCTGTGTCTCTTATTTGGTGTTTGAGTTTGTCTTCCTTCCCCTCCCTTTTTACTTCATTTTTTGACTTGCTTTCTAGGGGTTTTTGCTTGGAATTAGGTCCTGGAGATCCTAAAGATTGGTCACCCTCCCCCCTCAATTTTAAAACCCTCCTGATAAATTGAGCCAGTCATTTTCTGAAAACATTCTTCCGAATCTTTGTGAGGTGTAACCCATCCCTTGCCA